TGAGATCTAGATCTCAATGGGGTTTACCTGGTTAAATAAAGCAAAAAAAACATCAACAATCCTTGTGCCTTAGTTGGTAGGTTGACAAGCCCTACTGTGACTGTGACTGTGACTGTAAACTCATTCCTCTCATCAGATGTTTTCCTCCAGGCTTTACATGGCAGTTATCAAACCACTGATAAAAAATAACAATCTGGAAAAATCCTTACTGCAGTTTCACAGGTCAATTTTCAACCTTCCAGTCATTAGCAAAATTATTAAAAAAGCTGTGTTTCAAACTCTTAAATAGTTTAACAATGACAAACCCGTTTGTCTTTCAGTTTGGTTTCTCTGCTGACCGCAGTACTGAGACTGTCCTAGTCAAAGTGTTCAGTGACATAAATATAGCCTGGAAGAACCACAGTACTGGTTCTGTTGACTTTATTATGAAGGCGACTGGCAAATTGGGTTGAACTCTCTGGTACAATAGTCAGTTGGTTCTTTGGGTCAAAAGGTAATTTAAAGACCTCTCATGAAACATGCTAACACTCTCTAAGAAGCCTAAAAAAGTTTGTAATTACTGATTGCTGAAGTTGGCTTCTGATCCTTCTTCCTATTGGTGATAAATCTCTCACTTTGTAAACACAAAGAAGCAAGTATGTTTATTGTTCACCCTAGTAGTGTTGTGAACCCAAAGGTGTATATCACTCATGATTTTTATACCTTCATCAGGCAAAAGCTGAGCCAAATCTGATGTTGAAGTATTTCAGCTTTTCTTTAATGGAGAGTGAGAAGCTCAGCAGTCTAGGAGACTCTGAATAAAGAGATTCTAGGAATGGTGCTTCAAACATGTCACAATGGGAGACGGGCTTTGACTGACATGGACCAGCTGGAGACATTATGTCTCCGTTTGTTTGAGAGCATCTTTAGGTCATTTTAGGTCACAGCTAGGAAGAGGCGGCTGAGGAAGAAAGCTTTGGAGAGATTTAGTGCAACTACTGTCAAAACAATTAAATCATGACTAGTAAGGAGAATATCATCGGTTTGAATATTTATTTACTGATCAAACAATGTCAAGCAATGATTGTAAATGTTTCTATTTTCCCTTTGCAGGCCCACAGGACCATTCTGGCATAGCGTTGAAGAGCCTGTTCTGCTCCAGTCCAGATGTAGAAGGTCTGGAGGTGAGAGAACCATGTCCTTGAATGCAGCCAATCAACAGGAGCACAGACACAACACACACACATACACACACACACACGGTGACTCACATTCTGCCGTTCACACATTCAGTGCACCCACACAGTCCTATCCTATCTCTCACAAACAGTCCTTCACGCTTTACAGTACAGTACCTCCCACTCTCTCACACATGCATATTCAGAAAACACTCACACACAATCTTAGGTGGCTTCCATTTAAAATCTTTCACTTTGTCTCAGCCTTGTGTCCTGCCGCACTTTATTTTATCCTGCAAATGGATTGTTTTACTACATTGACGTTTTGTAATGTCGGTGTTTTCCAGAGGCTTTTAAAAAGATATTAATGTATTTACAAAGTCAAGGTGACGTTCAGGTTGTTAACTTTGTGTGCTTGTCTCTGGTCACCATGGAAGAAAAACAACAATATGGAGACCCCAGTGTCTCCTGAGCAAAGGAGGCCATCCAAACGAGTCCGGATATCCATCGTGGTAAGAGCCACCGTTCTGGGCTCCCAGCATGCCTGGAATCCGCTCTCCAACAATCCATCTACCGATCAATCAATTGTCACACAGCCATCCCATTTCAGGGCTAATCCCGAACGCCGATGGACAGCGATCTGGGCTGAGCTCAGCCAAAGCTGTCCCATCGTGCCAGTATAGAGCATCCTCTTTCTGATCCAACCTGTAACCTGACCACTGACCTTTCTCTTCTTTTAATAGTTGATATTGTAGGTTTTGGCTTTGATCCATACAGTTTAACCAGTTTCCGTTGGTCTGCTGGTCAGGAGACATACAGAACACTTGACTGCTAACATGACACTGCTGCTTTGTATTGATTCCACTGCCTCAAAGTGTCCTTGTATCATCAGTTAAAAAAATTGTTTTATGTGGACAATGGACCACATAAAACAAGGGGGGAAAAACACTGGCATGCCAACATATACAACATATACCAATAAGATGCTTTGAACCTCTAACCATAAATAATAAGCAATTATAACCCACATAACTAGTGTATTTGTAGACCTTACAGTATAATTCCTCAACCAAATTACATTTTTAACTCTGAAGATAAACAATTTTTGAAAGAAATTTATAAAAGTTAGGAAGCTGTGTTTGTGTTTGAACTTTTATTCATCTTGATATAATGACTTCTTTAGTGTCAGAGCTGCTTAAAGGCGAGACATCAGCTGCTCTTCTACAGCATGTAGGAAAAGAAACCACTTTAACTTGATGCATTTTGTTCCAAATATACAGAAACATTACAGAAAGCTCTTCGTCCATTTTGACAATATGGTCCATTTGGCAAAGACTACAGCCAATTTTCAGTGGAGTTGTGGTCAAGTGTTCTGCATATTTCAGTCAAGCATGCTGTCTTTCATCATGGATGTCACCCGAGGTGTCCAATCAGTGACTGCCTCCCAGAGCAGGCCCCGCCCTGTTTCTGGAGTGACCTAATAAAATAATCCTTTACACTCTTGTAACCATTTCTTTCACCCCATATATTTAACTACATAGAGCGACATCAGTTTGAATCCTTGCATGTAGCATTATATTTAATATCAGATAATTGATAAAGAGCTGACACCACCTCAAACAAAATGATGCATCCTCCAAAAATATCAGTGTGGGATTTAATCCGTTGTCCAATTATTCAAGCAGCAATGCATGTCAATCAGTGAAATGAGCATCTAATTGGGAATTGGGAATTATTTCACTGGATTAGCAGAATTTGCATGACAGACAATTTCAGTTGCTCAAATCAAACACAGTTTATTTTAACATAAATCCGTCTGAATGCATTCACCTGTTTGAAAGCATCAGTGAGCATCCAGTAATGTTGTTCTCTGCTCATCACATATCATTTCATTCACTGGCAGCCACCTCCCAGCCTAAAGGGTTTCTTTGTGGTGAGCACATTTGTTTCTCAAATATTCCTGTATGGGTCCAGTATTAAAAAGCACAGGTAGATGTATGGTGCAACAACTCGGTTCAGTTTGTTACTGACTGTAAGCTGTAATCTTATTCTGACTGGATGCACTTCAACAATTTCAAAATACAGTTAGCCCATGAGGAGTTTTTGTAAAATCAATTTTTTTATTTCTTTTTTCATTTTAGTTTTTATTTATTTTCTCTGATTGTTTTTGAAACCATTTGGGAAGCTTTAGAATAGGAACATAAATTTCAGTGGTAATATTTGCTTGAAGAATCCAAGGATGCATTTAATAATGGCATATTTTATAAAGATTTACCAACTGGATATTTGTCTTTATTGGTTCCATCCTTTGACAGTGAGATTTTGTAAATTGCGCTGTTGACTTTTTAATTTATAAGGAAGCACCCACTTCACAAGGTTAAGCTGCACCTCCATCTCAATGTTAACATAATATCCAGTACCAGTGTGTTCATTTTGAGCTTCAAAAGTGTTTTATTTAAGATGCCAGTGGTTGGAAATCATCAAGGAAAAATATAATGATCCATGCATCAGAAAATCTGCAGTTAATTCTCTAGATCTCCCAACTGCATTTTTAAGAAACTTTTTCCTTGAAAATGACTTGATCAGAATAAAACATTGCATCCTTCTTATGACAGAATTACAGTTCAGATCATGTTAGTGTAACTCTATTAGAAGTATTATTGATTTGGACTTGAAGCACTGAAAGGGCTCCATCAGCCCAATTATTGAAGTCTGTACAAAATTTTAATCATTCTGCAGCGCAGGGATGTCATTACTCATGCATCGCCTCAGTCTGTGTGTGAGTGCGTGTGTGTGTGTACAACCAAAGTATGCTGCTGATAAATGACACTGATCAGTTTTGTTAACAGAGAAAGGAAAACCACTGACAGTATTGTGGACTTCAACCATGCATCTCATCAAGCTGAGTCCAGAACCATATCCAGTTCTGCTCCATAAAGATATTTTCTTAATGTTGTATGACCACACAGCCTAAATTAGCCGTACCTTAAAGGATTACTTTAGATACTTTAGAGTGAGGTTCTTTGAAGTTATAAGCAGTAATAATAACTCCCTGCGGTAAAAAAAGATGTCATATCACTAGGAAAAGTGAACTGAAGGTCAGAGATGAATAAGCCTCCAATTGGCATCACTGCCAAGCTACTCTGTTTTTGTGAAATTGGAATCCCA